AAACAATCATGTTGGACAAAATTATTAATGCTAAAAGCTAATACAACCTCCACGACTATTAATCATACACAACTGAAAAAAAATAAAACTTCACCGTCTTAAAACAATCCAAACGCTCAAAGCACGACAAAAAATAGAATAAGTAATAACGAACCTTCTTTTCAATTAAACGATGGGAAGTATTTCTTATAACCGTGATACTTTCACATCTAAAAGAATACTATTATAGTATATTCATACTTTGTATTAATGAGTTTATCTAATCTATAAATAAGTCAACTAACGTAAAGGTCTATCGAAGGCTTGCTCACATATAACAGTCGTTGGGCCCGGACATATGTGTATATATATACTAGATGAGGAAAGGCCCGTATACAGGCCAAACATTGCAATTTTATTAAAGTTATTATTTGTTGGTGTTTAGTTAATTAACTTTTGAGGTTTAACAAGCTATATTTTTTAAAATTACTTTTGAATATAAAAGTATTTAGATTGAAATCGTCTTCAAATAGTATGGATAGATGAAAATCATTTAATTTTTATTTTCAAATTGCTTTAAGATAGTATGGTTAAATATGAAAATCTTGTAAATATCGATACTTCTTTTTGTTGTTGTATTATTTAAAAATTAATTTTATTTTCTCTATGAAAACTTCTATTTGAATAAAACAAAATTAATAATTTTCCAAAATGAGAAAAAGAGTGGAAATGAGCATTTGCACTGCACAAATAGTCTAATCAACACATGCATTGTGCGTTTAAAGGAGAGTTGTGGCTAGAGGAATGTGGGGTCCACGTATATTTTGTATTTAAGAAATGCAAACATGAAATTTTTATGAAATGACATATATGCCCTTGGTCAACCATCTTTCCTTTTCTATATAATAGAAAATTATTTTCTTCATAAGTTTCGTCTGTTGAAAGTTTTTTTCCGTGTCTTCAGATTCAAATAATTTCTCTTTCTACTTTGAATCACTTTTTCTTAGAATAATGGGCTGTCTTTTTAGACTTTCGCTCCTAATAATGGTAAGTACTAATTTTTTTAAATGTGGTGGTTTATTTTCAGTTAAAAAAAAATGAAAGAATTACAAGAAAATACACATGACTTCACACCATAACAAAAAATGGCCCATGTTTTTAAGTTTGGGGTTTTGACACAGTTACCCACAAAAATAAAACTATTTACCCTTGTCTACCCATTTGTTTTTCTACCCATAAACTAATTACATTTCCTACCCATAGTAGTTTTTGTGGGGAATTTTTTCTTTATTCTCCAATTCTTTTTTATTTCTATGCTTCTTTTTTTTTCTCCTTTTCTTTTTTCTCGTTTTCTTCTTATTTTTTTCTTTTTTCCTTTTCTAATTTCATTTAACTTCTTTTTTTTATATTCTTTTTTCTCTTCATAGTCTAATTCATTTACTGTTTTCACTATTTTTTATTATTCTTTTTTATACTATTACTAAAGAAAAATCAAATTGTGTACCAATTAAATGTAGCTAATACAACCAAAAAATATTAACTAACATATGATACCAGTATGTATATAGATATACCAACAGGGTATACAATTGTACGTAAAGAGTTAAAAAAAAATTAATTCAATTATTAAACTGAAATAATATAAGATGTCAATAAAAATTTCAAAAAATTTTAAAAGGATCTAATTGTACGAGTATATCGTTACATTATATAGCATACTATATATATATATTATTATATATATATATATATTGCATTTTCAATTTGTCCCTCACGCTGGGTAAAAGCTTGAAGCAAATTAAAAGGGAAAAAGCAAGTGAATTTACGGGTAATAAGCATACTATTATAGTATATTGTATATACTATTACAATATACTGTTACAGTATATTTTATATTATTACAGTATATTATAACAATATATTGTATACTATAATAGTATACTGTTGAAGTATAACTATATACTCCGATAGTATATTATATACTGTAGCGGTATACTGTTAGGTAACTTTGTTCTTCTTCAATTATTACAATATACTGTTGCAGTATATTGTAAACTATAATAGTATAATGTTGCAGTATAGCTATCATCCATGCATTATTAGAACGTTGACATTTCTCTGTAGACAAAAAAAATCAAAAATTGAAGGACTTATGTGGAATAAGCATATAGGACTTTAGTAGTAATCCACAATGAAGGAAAAAAGAAACTGATGTTCAATATTGCTGGAAAGTTCCTGCTTACAACCCTCTACGTCGAATAGTCTCACCTTGATTTTGTGTTTGAATTTTAGAAATAGAAAATTTGTTAATAAAGAGTGTTTTACCTTTTCTAATGGATTTACTTAACCGCAAATACAATTTACTAGATTGAATAAGTTTCAAACACTGAATGATTAAAAATATTGAATCCTCCCTTAACTTTTCTCTTTCACACACTGTGGGTTATAGGTCGTTATAACCAATGCGATATTAGTAGAAACATGGAGTTGCATATTTTGTCGTTCCAAAATATTATATTCATAAAATACAAACCTACCACACTAATAGATATTATCGATGCAGTTGGAACTTGGAAGTTAGAAGGTGCCAGGTAAATAATTTAGGCCCCATGGGTAGGAGTAGTAAATAGTTTGGGTCTGGGCATTAAAGGGTAAATAGTTTAGAATCAATGGGTATAAAGTGAGATTTTCTCTTTAAGTTTTACCCAACCTAGCCCATATTGTACATATTTTGAAAGCACTAGCAAATTCGAAATCTGTGTTCTTACAACCATTGCTCCTAAAAGCTATGGAGTTTAATCTGTGTTCTCACAACCATTGCTTTCATACTCTCTTCTTCTCACATCTTCATGCTTCAAGGAACCGTGTATTTTCTACTTCTCCTCTTGTGTCACCTGCTTGCAATGTAAGAAAATTGAAGAGTAGAAGTCCATCATTGAAGACATTCAAAGCTTTGCTTTCGAAAATGGTTGTTTTTAATTTTTTAGTTGTTTCGATTGGATGTTGTTCCAATTGATTGAAAATATCAAAAGGAGATCAAAATTTAAATTTGAAGTGATTTGGAGTAGATTTGAGCAAGATTTGAGTTAAATTTAAGAAAAGACGCAAGGAAGTAGACGAAGTCAGTTTTTTGTATAATAGTGTATATGAGTGTAGAAACACACCTTATACACTATTATACACTTTTATACACCTTTATATAAGCGTCTGTAGACGAATTTCTTCCACGATTTTCAGTTATAATTCTTGTTCAAACCCAGTCCAAACCTCCATTAAATGACTTTAAATTTTATATACAACATCCTTATACTATTTCTAACAAATCTAAATAACACCCACTCCAAATTTCTCACAAAATCAAATTCGGAATTTAAACCCATATATGTAAGCTTGTTAAAAATTTAATTTTTACCACCCAAATGAATTTTGTTTGTTGAACTAATATTTGAGTCACAGTTACTGATTCGAAAATTAATTTAAAAGCTTAAGGAATCTTTTTAAAAAAATTAAATAGTAATTTTGAAAACCTATTGGAGTTGATGTTGAATCTTAGCCTATTATTTTTGGGCTAGTTGGTTGTAAATTGAAATATGGGCTATAAAATTGAAAAGTGGGGAGCTCAGTTGTTCTAATGCGAAATATTCTCAAAAAAAAAATTACATGGTGTTTTCTATAATAGTTCGTTACAAATTTAGGTATGATAAATTATAAATAGTGATAAAAAATCCTAAATCTCAAATAACCCGCCACTTGAGATCTCCTCTTCGTGCGATAGGGAGGCAATTTGGAGAAAGCTCTCTCCCATGGACGCTCCTGCCTCTACCCTGTCCGTCGCTGAGGACGATTTCCTAATTACAATTCAGACGACGGAGCCACTCGATTCTAAGGCTGGACTGTTCCGGATTCACTCTCCCTTACTATAGGACTCCTTGTAAGTTTTTTTTTCTCCGCTTATTGATATGCTTCAACTCAGCAGGTAGTCCCGCCTGGCCTGGGATCGCGGTAGGATTGCCCAAGCGCAAGAAGGATTAGGAAATTCAAACATTCGATAGGTTGGAGTCACGACATTACGAGAGTTGAGTTTCAATCACCACTTGTCGTGATGCCCGTTGTGATGGAATCGCATTTAGGCTAACCGCATGCTTGAGGCGCACCAGAGGCCAGTATCCGTCCCACGATACTACCACAACTACAAGTCTCGATGCCGTGTGTAGGGGCGACATGATGCGTGACACCTAGGTAGACATGCCTCAACCTAATGGCTTTGGGCGCAACTTACATTTAAAGACTCGATGGTTCATGGGATTCTGCAATTTACACTATGTATCACATTTTCTTACGTTCTTCATCGGTACGAGAGCCAATATATCCGTTGCCGAGAGTCATTGATGTTTCAAAAGAAGCACAAGTCCTGTCGTGCGCACCGCAGACAGGGCGCAAGAGGTAAGCTTTCAATTTAGTACTATGCGCTTTTCGCACTGGGGTACATTAATCACCCAACACGCACGTGACGTGCAACATGGATAGGAGGGAGCTGCACAGAGTAATGCCGAAGCGCCCCTACCACACCGCTTCCCAGTGTTTAAACAAGTTAGCGGGTCGTTTTGCTTTGCAGATTTCGAAAGTGATCCTTCTGCGGATTCACCTACGGAAACTTATTACGACTTCTCCTTCCTCCAGATGATAAGGTTTAATGGACTTCTCGCGAGGTCGCGGGCAGTGATTCGCCACGTCGCCGCGATCTGAACAATACACCGGATCATTCAATCGATAAGAGCGACGAGCGATATGTACAAAGGGCAGGGACATAGTCAATGCGAGCTGATGACTCGCATTTACTAGGAATTCCTCGTTGAAGACCAACAATTGCAATGATCTATCCTCATTACGATAAAATTTCAGAGATTACCTGGACCTGTCGGGTAAGGCTATATACTCGTTGAATGCATCAGTGTAGCGTGGTCCAGAACATTTAACGGCATAAGAAGCTGGTCGCGAAGGGATAATAAATTGAACTTTTAGGTACACTACCATTTAGCTAGTATTTATTTCATATTTGATTATTGGAAACTTCCATGCAACAGGGCGTGGCAAAAAATATGGCTGCCAGTGGGATAATCCAAAACATGTCTTTGTTTTCCTCATCACACCCCTTAGCAACGAATAATCAGAAAGCTCCAACATTCAAAATCTCCCGCGTGTCTCAGAAACCCGCCATAATCCCTTCTCTCAAACAAATTTGCCGGCAAGGCAACTTCAAGGATTCATTTTTTACTCTCTCTAATTTAATTGCTCATGAAAACACATCCCAAAAATGTTTATACGAAGCTTACTCACTGCTATTCGAGATTTGTGCGTCGGAAAAAGACTTATTACATGGCCAACAAATTCATGCCCATGTTCTCAAATTGGATGTATTATGTGCTGATTCGGTTTTCTTGAACACCAAAATTGTCTTCATGTATGGGAAATGTGGGTCAATTGGAGACGCCGAGAAGGTGTTTGATAGAATGACTGAAAGGTCCATTTTCACTTGGAATGCCATGATTGGTGCTTGTGTTGTAAATGGGGTACCTTTTAGAGCACTTGAGTTGTACAAGGATATGCGTTTCTTGGGTGTTTCGTTAGATGCCCATTCTCTTTCTAGTACAATTAAAGCAATTAGTCAGCTCGAATTTTTGTACTGTGGAAGGGAAATACATGGTCTTGCAATAAAACTTGGTCTAATTTCGAATGTGTTCGTGCTGAACTCACTAGTGACCATGTACACCAAGTGCGATGATATCAGGGCTGCAACATTCTTGTTCAATGGAATGTGCGAAAGAGAGGATACTGTGTCCTGGAATTCTATGATTTCCGCGTACGTTATCAATGGGATGAATCAGGAAGCTTTAAGTCTCTTTGTAGATATGCTGAATGCCAGTGTCGAACCCACCACATATACTTTCGTTGGTGCTCTTCAAGCATGCGAGGAGACAAAATTTGGTAAACTTGGGGTAGAGATTCACGCTGCTGTTCTGAAATTCGGTTATTATCTTGATACATACGTTGTGAATGCTTTGCTAATGATGTACACAAAAAACAATAAATTAGATGAAGCTGCTAAAATATTCTTCCATATGCAAGAAAAGGACAACATTTCTTGGAACTCCATGATATCAGGATATGTACAGAACGGATTTTACGATGAAGCAGTTAGTTTGTTTCATGAGATGAAGAATGCAGGTCACAAACCTGACCACGTCTCACTTATGAGTATGCTTGTTGCATCTGGAAGACAGGGAAATCTGTTAAATGGGATGGAAATTCATGCCTTTTCACTGCGAAATTGTTTGGATAGTGATTTGCAGGTTGGCAATACTCTTGTAGATATGTATGCCAAGTGTGGCAAGTTAGATTACATGGACTCTGTCGGTGATAGGATGCTGCATAGAGATAATGTCTCTTGGACAACAATTATCGCCGCTTATGCTCAGAATAATTTTCCTTGGAAGGCCGTGCAATCATTTCGCGAGGTACAGACAGAAGGAAGCAATATTGATGATGCCCTGATGATTGGAAGTGTCCTCCTTGCTTGTACTGAGTTGAGGTGCAACTTACTTGCAAAAGAAATTCACTGTTACGTGATTAAAAGAGGCTTATATGATCCTGTTATACAAAAAACTCTTGTGAGTGTTTATGGAGATTGTGGGAATGTGGATTATGCAAATAGTATTTTTAGGTTGAGTGAAGTTAAAGATGTCGTGTTCTTTACAAGCATGATGTGTAGTTATGTTTGTAATGGACTTGCCAATGAGGCTCTTGAGCTCATGCTCTATATGAATGAATTGGAAATTGAGGCAGATTCTATTGCAGTCCTAAGCATGCTCACTGCTGCTGCTGATTTGGCTTCCTTAAGGAAAGGAAAAGAGATTCATGGGTTTTTAGTTAGAAAAGGCCTCCTTCTGCATGATTCCATTAGAAGCTCTCTAATAGATATGTATGCCTGCTGTGGGACTCTGGAGAACTCATATAAGGTGTTTAATTATTTAAAGAACAAAGATCCGGTTTGTTGGACAAGCATGATAAATGCTTGTGGATTACATGGATGTGGTAGGGAAGCCATTGATATATTCACGATGATGGAGAAGGAAAATATTCAGCCAGATCACATAACGTTCTTGGCTGTTCTTCGTGCGTGTAGCCATGCGGCACTAGTAGAAGATGGCAAAAGGATGTTCAAAATAATGCAAAGCAAGTATGCTTTGGAGCCTTGGCCAGAACACTATGCCTCTTTAGTTGATTTGCTTGGCCGTGCAAATTACTTAGAAGAGGCCTTTCAAATTGTTAAAACAATGAACTTGGAGGATATACCGGCTGTCTGGTGTGCTCTCCTTGGTGCTTGTCAGGTATACTCCAATAAAAAGTTAGGAGAAATTGCAGCAAAGAAGCTTCTTGAACTTGAGCCGAAGAATCCAGGAAATTACATTCTTGTATCTAATGTGTATGCTGCAATAGATAGATGGGACGATGTGGAAGACGTCAGAGTAACAATGAAAGGAAAAGGGCTGAAGAAAGATCCAGCATGTAGTTGGATAGAGGTAGGAGATAAAGTTCATGCATTTGTTGCCCAAGACAAGTCGCACCCGGAGTGTGATAGGATTTATGAAAAATTAGCCCATCTAACTGAGAAATTGGAGAAAGAAGCAGGTTATGTGGCTCAAACCAAGTGTGTTTTGCAAAATGTGGAGGAGAAAGAAAAGGTCAAGTTGCTTAAAGGACACAGTGAAAGACTAGCTATTGCATATGGTTTACTTGCTAGTACTGATTGAAACCCCATCCGAATCACAAAAAATCTTCGCGTCTGTAGTGATTGCCATGCTTTCAGCAAGCTAGCTTCAAAGTTCCTAGAGCGAGAAATAATAGTTAGAGACGCCAAAAGATTTCACCATTTCAGGGATGGGGTATGTTCCTGTGGAGATTTCTGGTGAAAATTTGTTCTAGTAATTGGTTAATGGATTAAGAAGATCTTTCTGATGATAACTAACCTTACTGCTTGCTAAAACCTACTTATAAGTCCCGCACAGTATATTTTCAATAAGAAAGGGAGCTAGTGGACATATCCACTTTCAGTTGTGAGCCAATGGATTAGTTTGGTGGCTTAGACCTGAGAATTTGAAGGTGGTTCAAGTCTAATGTGACACATATTGAAATTCATTTTGTGTTAATGCGAGTTTTAGAGTACAAGTTCCTAATCTTGTTATGTTAGGTCTAATGGATTATTATAAGCAGCGGAAGCAATCCCAACATCAAAATCATATATAATCTAGACAACTAGTATATCGGAGTTTTCCGGGTTACCTCTTGAAGCGTGAAAATAACTTTTCAGTCACACGAACCTTCAGTTCCACAACGCCTCAATGGAATCTCCATCACCCGCACGATCGCGATCTCAGAACATTCCTCGGTCTTCTACCGTGTTACCCAAACAATATCCGGAAATAGTAATCTTGTGTGGGCAAAATTTCTAGGAAAACTTGGCTGAAATTTATGGCCCCCTTCTTCTTCTTCCTTTAGGTGGAAAACCTTATTTATTTATACCACATGTTTTAAGGGCTAAAACCCGCTGGGTTTTCTTTTCCACCAGGAAAATGATTCCTTTATTTCCTACTATTATTTAGGCACAGCAGGGACCACAAAATTTAATTAACAAGGCTACCAATTATGGAATTAATTTGTAATTTTCGAAATTAATATCCACCATAATAAATTACAAATTATTCAACTAAAAAATTGTAATAGCACTACTTTCAATTTCGAAATTCATGCATTAAATCTTATTTAACTCCCCATATTAAGATTCAGATACTAATCAATTATTGATTTTTTCTATAGATTTTCGCTTAACTTATTTTATGTGTCGGATAAAAAATTTACCGGTCGGGTTTACACATGAAAACTTATAAGCTTTCATAAAGGTGTATCATCAATCTCTAAATCGAGACATGGATTTCATCAACTAACTAGTATTTCGCCAATGTACATTATTATTATCCAATTTACCAGGCATATTGAGCCAGGAAAGAATCTCGCCTTTTAATAATTCAAAACAATAGTAATATACACAACTAATAATAATTATATCAAGATTAAGAGTATAAGTACATTTAATGGCTAGAGAATTTATTTTATTAAGTCAGTATAAAATACTCATCTCTACTTGGTCCATTCAATACATACAAAATGTACTAGCACAAGAAGTTGAAATTAAACCATTCCCATGATCAAGATAAATTATATTTAATCTTGCGGTACAATCATTCCTGACGGTTTGTCCAATTCCATCATTAGATTGTGAACTCAAACTTTATACTTATAAGAACTGATGATTTAATCTTCCGTTTATAAGCTAAATTTTATACACTAAATCATCTACTATATAAGTATGACACAAACTATTTAAAACTTTACTATAATTAAATAAATATTTATTCCATAATAAATATTATATCCAAACCAAACCCATGATTAATAGTATATATACCCTAACAAGGTCAAACTTTTCTTGGAAAATTGTTCTTGGTGTGGCTATTGCCAACTTATCTGTTTCCCTCTCTTACTCCAGCACCCCCCTACTCAACCATCCCATAACCATGAACCCAAACACCATACACCCTTGGAACCATCCCCCTTACCACCTGTCGCCCATGTACATCACTCAATATCCCCCCACACAACCTTACCCCCAATCCTGCACTCACCTTCACCTTCACGATGGAGGTGGAAGGTCAGGATGTGATCCTCATGATCCAAAACCCAGCCGATATTGCTCAAATAGTAACGAAAAGCATGAAGATGGGGGTGGAACTCTACAACCAATAGCTCTGGGCCATGCGTCCTCCCTCGACCATGCAACACTTCCACACCCACACCCTACTTCCCCTCTATAACACACTCAAACCTCCCCCATGGAGCTCCCATTCTATCCACTACAACTCCCACCTCACTCTCTAATACCATGGATACAGCCAAGGTCAACAATCCATATTTCATCACCACTACATGCACATGCGACACTTTATTAGTCGACTCCAGTGCATCCACCACCAGCCATTCCCAACGCACTCGACGAAATCGAGCAACTCAAAGTGGCAGCAACAATGGCGGAAATATGGGAAACTCTAGCCAATCTTGTGCTTCCTCAACAACAACATATACTACGACCTCAAAGAGCAATATACAAGAAAGATAATCATCATGTGCCCACCGGAACTCCAAAGCTGCTCCCTCAATCTTCGTCCAACAAACAACCCAGAGGTAGGAAAGTACGGATTAGCGTTGATCCCCTCATTAATGAGATCAACAGTGTCACAAGTGGAGACAACCCAGACTTCACCACCCTCACCCCCCCTTCCCACAGTAATCAAATGCAATTCATCATATGGAATTGTCGTGGAGCTTTGTCCCAAGACTTCAAGAGAAATTTTCGTTCGCTACTCAATTATCACCAACCTGCCCTAGTGGCTCTGCTAGAAACCCACCTCCAATGCCATGCTCATTTGAAGGAGGAGTTTGGTTTTACAAACATGGCACAAGCCCAAGCACAAGGACACTCAGGTGGTATCGTAATACTGTGGCATGATGACCTACTCAAGCTTGATCAAATTGAGGTCACCTCGGAAGCTATCCACTCCATTGTGCTGGTACCTCCTAACCCTACTACTTGGTTATTTTCCGTTATAAATGCTAAAAATGACTTGCATGCACGTACCTCTTTATGGGCTAATTTAATGAGCATGCATGATAATATCCATATGCCGTGGCTAATAGGGGGTGATTTTAATGAAATCACTCGTGCAAATGAAAAACTTGGGGGTAACCCTATTAATAACTCACGATGTGACCGCTTCATCCAATGCCTTAATTATTCCAATTTAGTAGACTTAGGCTTTAGAGGAAGTAGATACACATGGACAAACAAATGCTCCCTAGCTAATAGAATTTTAGAATGACTAGATAGATATGTTTGTAATTACGAATGGCTCAATCTCTTTCCAGAAACCAACGTATAACGCCTCCCTCGATCCCATTCGGATCACTGTCCGTTACTACTAAAATTGAAACTCAATTTCCCTCGTAAAAAATTGTTTCGTTTTGAAACCATTTGGTCCTCTCACCCTCCTTCCCCTCTCTTATTACTCATCATTGGACTCCTCATAAAAATTTTCTCCAAGCAATCAATGATTTCACTGAAGACGTGCAAAACTGGAATCAACACACATTTGGTAATATTTTTAAAAAACAGAAAAACTTATTAGCCCGACTAAATGGTCTCCGGTCCTCTCCTAGTTACCCCACTAGCCATTTCCTTCAAACCCTAGAAAAAGACCTCATAGATGAATTTAATCAATTACTTAGGTTGGAAGAGGACTTTTGGCGATTAAAGTCACGAATCCGTTGGCTACAACAAGGTGACACCAATACCAAAATTTTCCACCTCACCGCTCTACAACGAAGAAGAAGGAATAGGATCACAATTCTTAAAGATTTAGGAGGAAATTAGATTACAGATAAACCCTTGGTCAATAATTTGATCCATAATTATTACCACACATTATTCACCACCTCCCGTTCCCAATCCAACATAAAGCAGCCCAACCCGGATTTTTATTCACTAACTATTATGGATCATGCCACCTTGACACGCGCATTAACCATTCAGGAAATACATCATGCAATACGTTCATTCCAACCCCTTAAATCACCAGGGCCAGACGGCCTACACCCTTTTTGTATCAAACATACTGGCCTCAAGTTGTTCAATCAGTAATTTCTTTTTGCAATGAGATATTTAGCACTTGTCACATACCAACTCAAATTAACAAAACTTATTTATGCCTCATTCCTAAGGTCAAACACCCTTCACTCATCACTTAATATCGCCCCATCGGTCTTTGCAATACTATTTACAAAATAATCACAAAAATTATTGTGCATCGTATCAAACCTATCATAACAAGAATAATTAGCCCTGAACAATCTGCCTTCTTAAAAGCGCCTAGAGCTTCAGATAATGCCATAATCGTTTAAGAAATTCTAAACTACTTCCGCAAAAAAAAAGGTCAAGTATCAAATTTTTTAATTAAACTAGATCTCGAAAAAGCTTTTGATAAGATGGAATGTGACTTCATTAAAGAAACATTACATTTCTTTAGTTTTCCTCACAAAATCATCTCTTTAATTATGTCTTGTATAAGCACCTCCTCTATCTCAATCCTCATCAATGGTCACCCTTCCCCATTCTTCTTTCCCTCGATAGGAATACGGCAAGGCGATCCTCTATCCCCTTACCTTTTTATATTATGCATGGAAAGACTCTCACGCCAAATTCACCGACTAGTTGATTATCAACAATGAAACAATGGAAAGCCATCTAACTCTTAACCAATGGACCCCAATTCTCTCATCTCCTTTTCACAGATGATATTACCCTTACCTCCAAAATAACCACCTCTAGTGTTCATACTATAATTGATACCCTTAGCCAATTTACACAAAAATCAGGTCAAAGTATTAACTTCACTAAATCAAAAATTTACTTCTCCTGTAATGTTACATCAATGGACATATCTTTTGTCCTGAGCTCCTTTAATATGAGGGAGGGCGTTCTTTTTGGTAAATATCTTGGCTTCCCCTTGTTTGCCAATAAACCGACATCCCAGGACTTCCAATACATCTTAGACAATTTTAAAACCAATTTATCAGGATGGAAAATCAATATGCTTTCCATGGCGGGACGAGCTACCCTTATAAAATCCACCTGAAACACCCTCCCAAATCATGTTATGTAACTTATCAAAATCCCTACCCAGGTTATCTCCAAAATGAACCGCTACCAAAGGAATTTTCTTTGGGGCACTACTCAACATAAAAAGAAACTACATCTGCTTATATGGTCCCTAGTACAAAAACCTAAGCATCAAGGTGGTTTAGGTATTCAAAACTTAACTACTAAAAATAATACACTTCTAGGTAATTTAGCTAGGCGACTGTTAAAATGTCACAACTCTCTATGGGCTCCCCTATTACTATCTAAATACACAAATATCACTCAAAGTCATAACACCTCCCTTATCCGGGAAGC